CCGAAAAAATTTTCGATCGGATTTAATTGTGGAGAATAAGGTGGTAAAAATATGATATTTGGATAATTTTCACTAATTATCCTCGCTCGATGTATAGGAGCATTATCCATTATAAGAAATGAATCTGCTATATTAGCTTGTAGTTCTGCGTTATCCTTCTTTTTCCGTCCTCGTTGTTTCATTATATAATCTTTTAATGGGTCGTCGTAATATTCAGGGAAGGTTTCCCGCTTGAAGCGATAAACTGAACCAAGGGATAAATTAAGGTCTTGGGCAATTGTCTTTGCTTTGGGCTGATCATCAATTGGCTTGCTCAGCCATATTTTAGCCAATTCAATTTTTTCATGACTCCAGTTACCCTTTTTTTTCCTCATAGGAATAGGATCAAGATTTGATTGTTCTTGAATATTCGAATTTTGATATCGATTAGTAATGTCAGAAAGACATCTACGGGAATTTGATGGACTGGATGAATTGCTTTGGTATCTATTTGTTATTTCAGATAACCCCCCAAGAGAATATGAAGTTTCATTAAATGTATCTAAAATTATGTATATAAAGTTTGTAAATAATCGAATATTATATTAACAAACCTGAAACTGGAGAAAGATTTAAAATACTAGCGATAGTAAAATTTGACATTTAAAAGAAATAGAAATACAGATTTTAATCTGAAAAAAATTATTAGAAATTTAAAATTAAAATTGTCGAAAATTTATAAAAGTAAACATAATAAAGTTTTAAATCAAGTTAAATTACAAGTTTTTAAAAATAATAATGTTTTTCGCAACATGTTCTTTGAATTAAAATTTTTTTAAAAAGGATCTATTTTTCTCAACAAGTTTTTTCAATAATTATGGAAAGTTTGAACACCATATAAGAATGTTTATTCACATTGTTGACATGTGTTACAACAAATCATATTAATACTGTAGTATAACATCTGTAATTTTACTATACTATAACATGTCATTTAAATATATTATAATGATCAGTTATAGTTTATATTCAATTCAATTGCAATTCTAGAAGTATATAAAATATTTTTATTGATAAATTACTTATTTATATAATAAATAATAACATTAATCTATTTACATAATTAGTAATAAACAAATATATTATGAAATTTGAAATTAATATATCGAAGATTTCTTTTTAGAAATACCAAAATTCAATTTATCAGAAATCAGTCTGCGGCGATGGGGACAGTCAATATCACTAGCATCGCTAAAAACAGATTCTGAAGATTATTGAACACTTTTTTAAACAGAATGCGAAAAAAAATAACAATATGGCAGATGTTTATTAATTAATTATTATTAAAAAATTAAACATAAAAATGGATTTCGATTTTATTTATAAAAATAAATGGTTTTTTAGATATAACTTTTTCTAAAAAATATTATAATATTTTATTTTTGTTAAAAACGCAATTTTTTATCGGATCGGATCGGAAAATTTTATAATATTTGCCGATAACCGAGTGTTTAAAATGGGTGAAATATGGTACATCCTTAATTATAATATATTTAAATGACATAAGTTATGGTATAGTTAGATTTAAGATGCTATACTAATAAGAAGTATATTAAAAATTAAAACAATTGGTATTTTTACAGAATATAAAATTAGATATGATATCGGATCTGTAATCGGCCGATATCAATTTAATATCTGATCGGATCGGCCTCCAAAAAATGGTATCGGTACACCCCTACCTTTATGATATAAACATATATTAAAAGCATATAAATTATTAAAACAAAACAAAAGATCTTGTAAACAATGCCACAATGAGATATCATAAATTTATTATTAGCACCACAAATCTTTATTTATACGCAGAGTAATTATTATAATATCAAAGAGTGTTAAATATTTGCGATTGCAGATTAAAAAAATATTTTGAGTAAAGTTTTACAAACTATAAAATATATAGATTTTATATTATAAAAAATGTATTGAAATAGTATAAATATAACAAATTATATATAAATTTCTTTAATCGTTTCTGTCCCACGTTCGAATGCAAGTTTTAATGCACGAAATATTCGCGCAAGAATTAAATGGTATGGTTAGCGCAATTTGAAGGCATTTATATATCCGAGAAAATATATTGTTGGACATCAATTTTAATAAATCTATTAATGATTTACAATTCGGTTCGTTTGTCTGATTGTAAGTTAAAATATGAACTTTTAAAATTGGATATTCTTCCAGTGGATCCAGAAGTTTGATGAAAATAAATGGTTTGATTACAACGGAATTTTTTTTAAAAAAGGGAGATGTAAGCGTTTTTAACTTTTGTTTTATTTGTGTTTTCTTGGCAAAATTATTTTTAAAATTTATTAATTATAATATCCAAAATTGGCTAAAAGACATTATACTTATAAAAATTTTAATAAGAAAAATTAGCAAAGCGTCATCCATTTGAATAATCATTCAAAATGGTATAATTTTGTTCTTTTATTTCTGATTTTTATTATAAATTACGAAATAGATTTATTTTAATAAATAATAAAGAAAAATAAGAATAAGAATATTTTCTTAATTCTGACAGAAAAATAATGATAAGTGATTCAACAGATAATGCTGTTGATATGTCCGAATCTGATTTTATATATGAGATTAACTAAAAAATAAGTTCAATTGCATATAATATGCAATTGCTGAAACGACATTAACATATTAAAGGATAAAACATTTGCTTTGCTTAGTTTTTTATGTAGATTGCATTACAAACTTATTGCTCATTCTTTCTTAGTAGAAAAATAGTCAAAAACATAAAATGTGGATGAACAGCCTCAAAAATAATGTTAAATATTGATTCCTAAAACTAAGACGTACATAGAGGATTTAAAGGAAAATCATCCATTTTCTCTATTAACGCATGCATTAAATAATGTAAATACGAAAATATTTCCAATGTTGATAAATTTTAATAACAGGTTTTTGAAATAAACTTCTAAAAAAACTTTCATTAGACTTGAAAAAATCAAAGGATATTGCATCTATGCTTGTGCAGAGCTAAAAATGTCTAACCTTTAACTTAAAGCCTTTTGTGCAATACTAGTGTGAATTTGAAAAAGACAAATTGTAATTAAGGAATTCATTGCATTAAATATATATACTTGTATTTATCGAATATGTAAAAATTTATTTAATAGCATAAAATCTTTAAAAAAATATGAATGGGAATAAAAATAGGTACTGATTTTTAAAATATTCCGAACCATTTTTTTAAATTATAGTTAAATTCTCCAGCTTTTTGCTTGAATGAATCTGGCAACCTGCTAATGACGCAGGATGTAAGTTTAATAACAATTGTTTAGTCAATTTTTTAGAATTAATAGTTCTAAAAAAATAGTAATATATGTCGTATTTATGGAATCCATGGGGATTCGGAATCTCAATCTTATATAGTTATCGAGAGCCATTTTTAAATCTGATAAATCATATTTGATCGGAAATGCATTCCAACATGTACATAGTACCCAGGCTGTGAATTACAAACAATTTTGCCCAGAACTGTTGAAATATTTTAATTTATATCCGATAGATTTTTATGGCGAAAGTTATTTGAATAATATAGGGTAGGTATGCTAGAATACATTTCAGGTGAGATAAGATTTTTAAAATTTAAAAATTGTGCTCAGTAAATGATATAAATTTTAGAGATTTCAAATCCTCATGGATTCCATACCTAATAAGACATTAAGAATAACTTTATAATTTATAACAGGTTTGGGTAGATTGAGACCAAGGCGGATCAAATCCGTGTTGGTAGTAAAAATGGACTCGGTTTGAGTTGAGTCAAATTAAATCGCAAATAACTTATTAAATAGGTCAATTAACATTATATAATAAAATGCTTGGTTAATTTGAAGGCAAATGAACTAGAAAGATAACGAGTCGACTCATGATTTCAAATCGCAAATCGATTCAGAAGTCTAGCTGAATCGGCTTAGGATACCTATTTGCGATTCAGATCTTTTTAAGCCTACGATTTCGGTTAGTTATAAACTTAATTATCTATCAATACTTTTGTTTAATGGGTTTTGGTCATTTCGTTTTTCGACTCCAACCCCGACCAGAGTTTTTGATAAATCAACTTTTTAGATATTATGATTTTCCAATTTCATATTGCTGTTTAATAAAAATAATGTCTCAACTGCATCAAGCAGTAATGCCAAAGCCGTAATGGGATCCTAGAGTGTTAAAGTAGCATATTTTTTTTTAAAGTTGTAGCTAATAGCACTTTACTTTCTTTAAAAAAAAGCGTTGTCAATATGTCAGCTCCTGGTCGACATCTAGACCACACCCTTTTCTTTACTCTTCTCAAAAGGCCATCACTGTCACCAAACATTAAATTCGATTATTGCTACAACTTTTTGCTGAGCTAATATTCCATAAACTTTGGAACCTGTAGGATTTAACTTCGAGGACAATATTAGGGCTGGGAATGACAATGGAATTCCTAGTCGGAGATTATCATGCATTGATTGGTTTGTAACATCTTTTAGCTCCAATTCTTTAGAGCTGAAATTAGATTGATTAATAAATATATTAACATCCCTAATATCACTTTAATTCCCATTGTTTCTGACACAATTGGTGCTTTCAGATCCAACGCCCAGGATTTCTTCAAAGCACATGGCAGCCAAAAATTGAGCGTAATTTTGGGTGATCTTTAGGAAGATTTTTATTTACATCAATGAATTTAATGGAAATATGTAATCACATTATATCAATCCTAGGTGTAGGAACCTTCTTACATGTTTTAAACATATTTTATTTATAAATTTTATTCGTTTTAAATTAAAATAAAATAGTCATATATTTAAAAATAATAAAAAATGTTGGTAATAAATATAAATAAATTAAATATCAATTTTAAGTAAATGATAATTATCGCAATTAAATATGATTTTATTAAGATTGGTATGACATGTTTGTTTAGCATTAAGTATTATGGATAGAAAAGATTTGACCTTTTCTAGCTATTTTAACTAATTTTGAGAGTTCCCATTATCTAAATGATTAGTCATTTTGTTTTGGAATAGTATGTTGATAAAGTAGACTCACATTCCTGCTCAAAATTATTAGTACTCTTCAAATTATTACCTAGGATAAAATGATTTTAAACATTTTGGCAATATGTGAGGTTGATATTTGAGCCCTATCTAAATTTGTGTCTCCTTTTTTTGCATTTCAATATGTTCTAGATTAAATTAAAAATTAAAGTGGTGTCAATTTTGTTAATTAAAATATAATTTATTAATGAAGAAAATTTTTCTTAAAAACAGCTGATGACTTGAACAGTGTAACTATTACACAAAATATTATTACATAATTTACCATGTTTTAAACAATTTTCCCATAAAAAAATCCTATAACTTTGTCTTTGATAAATGCATTTCATATATTATGTAAAAAAATATTCGCTAATAAAATTAGAAAATAGATTGGAATCTCCACACTTGTATGGCAAAAGTTTCTCAAAGTCCATTTTTTGAATATCGGGATGAAGATTGTGACATGTTGTATAGAATAAAAACTTTTCATTAAACAATTGTTCTGCTAATTCACTTTGATGATTGTCCATCAAGTTTTCATTTAAGACCACAATTAGGTTTTTATTAGCTTCTAATATTTCAATAATACTTCCAGCACCTTATAATATAAAGGTGTTATAAAATATTTACTAGTTTACCTGCATGACTTATAACTAATGATGCTTGTTTTATATCTGATTCTATACTGTTTTTGTAATGATACCATTGAATGAAAAATCCTTCTAATATATTTGATTGTGGATAATATACACCTCTACCTAATTGAATTATCATAGATTTATATCCCAATTTTTTAAATAATATAATCACATCTTTTGAGGTAACTGCTTTAATTAACTCATCAAATGAAGTAGTGCCAACTGTAACGAATATAATCATTAACTATTCGAATTTCAAAAATGTTTATCGTATATTTGATTATTAGGTGTGATATTGCGCGTCTGATGTTGTTTTTATAGAAAACCAAAGAACGGGTCTATTTGATAATAACTAAAACCCCCCTAATTATCGTGTAATTAACGTTATAATATTTATAAATTTCTTATTTTATGTCAGTAAACGGAAGCGTAGGTATTATTCAAGTTGGCAAAATAGAGATCTAATGATCGCTTTATTAATAACGTTTATAAAAAAAAAATTCCATAATGAAGGCAGGTCTCCAAATAAAATATAAATGTCATTGTTTAAATTCAGAATTGTTAATCGCTACTTTTAAAAGTAGCGCGCTACCGCTATTTGTCAAAAAAATTAGCGCGCTACCGCTATCGCTATTTGTCAAATAAAGTAGCGCGCTATTAGCTACTCTTATATAACGATAACAATGGCGTTGTATAAACAAAAAATGTTGAGAGAAAATTTATTTATTTATTATAAGTATAACTAACTAAAAAATAACTAAAAAACTATATGTATTATAAATAAAAAATTTAAACAAAAACAAGGTTACAGGCTAAAATAATCGTAACATATTAAATAGGTTATGTTCAAATAATAGCAATTTAAGTTAAACAAGTTTAAATATATATATAAAAAATTAATCTCAATTAACAGCTACTTTTTATAAAAAAATTTATAAACAAGTTTGTTTTATTTTTTGCTTGTATTGTTATTGTATAGTAAATATATAAAAATCAACATTTATAAGTAGAATATAGTTAGTTTTGATTATAAAAAAATTAATATAATAAAATAAAATATTTATTGTAATTTATTGCATTTTATAAGTTTTTACCTAGTGTTATGTGTCCAACTATCTACCATTGTCCATATATATGATATCTCTCATAACTCAACTATTAGAGCATCTTTCATAACTTTAAAGTTATCTGCTATTAGTGTCTGGCGACATAGAATTATTGTACCAGGGGATAGAGTTTTAATCATCATGGTAAATGATGGATTAACAACCAAGGATATTGGCTGAACTGTATCAATTATAAAATAAACAATAACTTTATCAGCCAATATCTGAAAAATACTGGCATTGAATTATTAAATAACTTGGTTTGACATGAATTAGTCTTTTTGGATAATGTAAAACTGACAATTTACCTTGGGTGTTTCTTGAGGTTATAACTGGATTGATTTGAGGAAATATTTTTTTTACATTTTAAACAAATAAATTTGAAACCAGTTTTGGTTTTTATATTTATTTTAAAAAAATTTTCAAATCTAGGGAATAGGAAATTTGTATTATAGCTATTAATAACATTTTCTTCCCTGGTATCTTCCATTTCATTAATATCATTGTCTGAATTACTTTCAACGATTTGGATATCCATAGGCGATGACATTTTAAATTATTAACGTGTAATTTAGGTTTAATACATATGAAAATATAAATTACAAATTGAAAATATATTTCAATTTTAAAATTAAATAATAAATCATAAAAATAATAATTAATTATTATATTATATTTAAATTATCATGTTTATACTTAACTTCATTATATTTTTTAAAAGTAGCGCGCTAAAAACTTAAATAATTACAAAAAAAATAGCCGCTATTAGCTATAGTTACCAAAAGATAGCGCGCTACTTTAACAACTCTGTTTAAATTATATTCAACACATTTTATATATTTATTTATAAATGGAGAACTATTATAAATCGAAATCAGGTAAGTAGAAGATGATATATAACATTTCTAATATAATACGTGGCCATATTTTAAAAGTAACCAAAAAACTATTAACTCCTTCCTTCTTAACAAATATGAAAGATTAAATTTTTTCTTATCAAAATTTCCATGATATTAAGAGAACTCTGCCGGATAATTAATGTCATGTCAATCTTAATCATATTTTCTAAAGTATAATATTTATAAAACAGTCAATGAAATATAAAATGAATGATTTAAGTTTTAACGTACCTTTAGCCAAATTCGAATCCGAAGAATGGTTAGATTTTTCAGATCAAAAAACCATGTATGAAGCAGAAGTTATAGAAAATATTAAAATGGAAAAATCAGAAAAAAATTATAAAGAAAAGATTTATAATGATATATTTTCTGAAAAGTTATCACATTCTTTGGAAGATCTTGTTAATTCTTTTGATCATAAAGTCATAAAATGCCTTAAAGATTATAAAGAAAATGTTGGAAATATTGCTCCCATGCAAATGCGCTCGCAAGATCAAATAATGGATGATTGCCCGTAAGTTTAGTATATATTTTATACAATCTTTATTGTATTTTATCTTCAAACTTTATTATATTTTATTTAGTCAATATTAAGAATTGGTATCAACAATTTTTTTAATAGTTATATTTTAAATATCCATATTCTGATGAATATTTATATTATTAAAATTTTCATAATATATACACTACCAAATATTACTTAACTACAGTAAAACTTGTTATTTTTATAAAATTAAGAATTTTATAATGAATATTGTAAACTATTTTACATAATATAATTTACTCTTAAAATTTATTAATTTATAAGACCTGATGAGGTAAAATTTTTAGACCCAGCCTAAATTTAAACTTGCTTCCATTCAAATGAGCCTGGCCCAAATTTTTTAAAAATTTTCTTCTAATTTATGTTTTATACCTCTAGGTCAGCCCTGGTTTTATTTGATCATTTTATATCTAGATTTTTAAAATATAATTTTGGCTATATTTTTGGACTTGTTTCAAATAGAAATTTAAAAAGCAAATAAATGTTAAACATGTTCTTTTATCATAATTAAAAAAAGGGATTAAAGAAAGAATAAAACTTTAAAAAAATTAAGAGTGATAAATATTATATATTTATTTTCATATTATATTTGGTAGATATACCTTATTGAGTTTTCAGATTTATGAATGAATATTTAAATTCAATACATAATGTTATACAAAGTGATTAGTAAATAAATTAATATTTGAGATTAACAAATATTTGTTAATTCCATTTATACTAAGCATTTAAAATTTAATTTTTTTGGTCTGAGCCCAACCCAGCCTAACACTTAAGAAAAATATAAATTAAACACATTTTAATGAAGCATAAGGTAAAAGTCACTGACTGTGTATCCTTATCACATATAAATTTTTAATTTGATAAAACAAGAGAAAAAATTATTTTCAATGTTATTTTTTATATATATTATTTTTAGTCCAAGCCTAGCCTAGCTCGATTTGTTATCACAAGCCTGGTAGGCATGAAATATTTGAATAATTTTAGAGGCTTCTGGCCCACATGCAATGCCCCACCAGAGCCCCTGACAGGCCATGAGCCTGTCCTAAACCTAAAGCTTTTTAACATATGGCTTTGGGTTGGCTCAGGTTAAAAAAAAATTGATTATGCCATTCTCAAATTTATTGCCTATTATTCGTATTTTAATTCATGAAATACAGCTCTTATTTGTTAAAATATGTTTAATGTTTATCTCATTTCATTTGAAATTCAAACAATACAATTTATAGCTTAAGTTTATATAAATAAATGATTTTATCACAAGGGTTTTGCTAGATTTTTCTACCTATGGGGGAGGGGGTGGGAGGGCACACTTTTTTGAAAATTTTTATAACAAAAAAAGTTAAGAGAAAAGATAATTCTATCTAAAATGAGCTAAAAGGGTATTTTTATCTTAAAAATTACAAAAATAATTTTAAATTTTTCAGGGGGATTCCCCCAAAGTATATAAATCAGAGACCTGCAGAAGTACCATTTGCATGGCCCGGCCTGGATTAAAAAAATTTTGGCCTGGCCTGGATTATTTTTTTCTAAAATTTTTTATGGCCCACCTCGGATATTAAAAAAAAAAATTTTTAGAGCCCGGCCTGGATTTAAAAAAAAATTTTTTTTAGGCTCGGCTCGGAATTTTTTAAAATTATATTCGGCCTGGTATATACAAAAATATTTGGTATTTTATATTTTTCAGCAAGTATTATCATTTAATAAGCAAGCATATTAGCTAATGTTGTTAAACGGCTCGTTTTGAGCTGATTTTGAAAAACGGCGAACTCAATATTTTCGCTAGAAAAATATTGACTAAGCCTCGAAATTTCGATACTATATGTCTAGACCTTTGCTCCTTTTGTGAGCAAAATTTTCAGGCTTGCATAATATTATTCTGAGTTAGCCGTTTATAAAAATCGGCTCAAAACGAGCCGTTTAACAACTTACATATTTTTTTTTAAAAATATTCTAAACAGATATTTAGTATATTCCAAATTGATACTATAAAAAATTTGTGTAAATAATATTTTGATAATATACTATATTAATTGTATTTATAAAAAGAATAAAACTGATATTTTAATTAATAAAAAATATAACATATCTATATATAATCTTCATAATCAAAACATGATCGTTTTCGTATCTTCCTAATGTATTTAAAATTTAAGGAGACTATATAGTGTAATGTTTTTTTTGCTCTCTACGAGAGTCGAACTACAAACCTCCCGTTTCAAAGTCGTATGTTTTATGCATGCGCCAACTTGAATATAATTAAATTTAAAATATTAATTATATATAAATATATTAATTCATAGCTGATATTTTAAAATTCAGCCGTTTATTACCATACTATCTGACGGGGTTGAAGGGTAATTATTTAGTTTGTATGTATGGTACTAAATATACTTTATTAATAAATTTTATATAAATATTAGAATTTAGGAGAAAAAGAGGTAAAATTGTTGCAATGTATACCGTGAACATGTATAAGAAATATCAAAATTTAAATTTGTGATGGAAATCATAATGGATAAAATTTAAAAAAGAGATGCTTTAAGATTTTTGAATTTTAAATATGGGTTATACATTGGCCTGAAAACTTTTTTTTGCAGACCTAGCTAGGTCTGATCAAAAACCAAGTCCATGCAACTTTCATAAAATTTTGCCATTTATTTTTATTTTTATTGTAATTTAATAAAAATGTCTTAAATTTAATTTTATATTTAGAATAAAATTTAGATTTGTGATAGAAATCATATTGTGTAAAATATAAAATATAAATGCTTGAAAATTTTTTTATTATAAATATGGGCTAGACATTGGCCTGAAAATTTTTTTTTGCAGAAATCGCCAGGCCTGATTAAAAAACCAAGCCCATGCAACTTTCATATTCTGATTTCATTTTTAAATGAATTATGACTTTTATATATTTTATTTCAGTTCTCAACTAACAAAATTATAGTCTATGGCGGGTTTGAGAAAATTTTCCCAACAATATGGTTTTTTTACCTATCTCCAGGCTTGGGAAAAAATTCTAAAATTATTATGGGTTGGCTAGGTTTGAGAAAAAAAAATTCAGGCCAATGTCTGGTCCATATTTAAAATTAAAAAATTTTTAAGCATATATATTTTAAATTTTACCCAATATGATTTCTATCACAAATTTAAATTTTATTCTAAATATAAAATTAAATTTAAGATATTGTTATTAAATTACAATAGAAATAAATGGAATGGAATATAAAATTAAATTTAAGACATTGTTATTAAACTACAATAGAATTAAATTGCAAAATTTTATGAAAGTTGCATGGGACTTGGTTTTTTGATCAGGCCTGGCTCTGTCTGCAAAAAAAAATTTCAGGCCAATGTCTACCCCATATTTAAAATTAAAAAATTTCCAAGCATCTCTATTTAAAATTTTATTCAATATGATTTCTATCACAAATTTAAATTTTATTCTAAATACAAAATTAAATTTAAGACATTATTATTTTTATTACAATAAAAATAAAAAGCAAAATTTTGGGAAAGTTGCATGAGACGTTGTTTTTTGATCAGGCCTAGCTGTGTCTGCAAAAAAAAATTTTGAGGCCAATGTCTAGCCCATATTTAAAATTCAAAAATTTTGAAGAATCTCTATTTTTAATTTTACCCAAAATGATTCCTATCACAAATTTAAATTTTGATATTTCTAATACCCTTAATGCTCACGGGTTGCATTGCAACAATTTTACCTCTTTTTCTCCTAAATTTTAATATAAAGCATATTTAGTACCATATATACAAACTAACTAATTACCCCATCATTCTTGACGGGTTATTAGCTAGTATTATATAATAATGTATTTAATCCTTTGCGTATTTATTCCATGGCAGGAAAACTATAATTATATTATGTAATAGATACTATGAGTATTAGCTAGTGTTAACTTTCACCAAACAGTATTTTAATCATAACTATATATAATCATTTTAACCATACCTAATTGACGAATATAATAATTCATGTTGTATAAATTTTTTAAAAAAATACAGCCCGGCCCGGGTATTTAAAAAAAAATTTCACCCTAAGCTCACTGATATAAATCATTATATTGATCACCTTTAGGTTGGTACAACTCTGGAAAAAATATGGCTGTACCGATATTACATATCGTATCAGAGCTGATATTTAGTGTTTAAAAAAAATATGATTGGACCAGTATTTGCAAAAAACCGATATAATATTTTTTATGTTTTAAATTATATTATGATTGTTTATATAAATAGGTAATATTATATTACCCATAATTTCCTAATAATAAAAAAATTAATGTTTAAAAAATATCTAATTATTTTAAAAGAAAAAATAAAATGTTGTATTATTTATTGTTATATTATCTGCATCAAGAAAATGATTTTAAAATATTTAACGAGCCAAATTCAGCCATAAACATTGTCCATATTTTAAATGATAGGATTAATATTTGGGGAATAAAAAAACGAAATACACTCAATCATTCGTGATAAAGTTTTTTATAACACTGGCTCAAAGATAGATGGTAAATAAAAATTAATCGAAATAACGGACCGGTTATCGGATCGAATTCATATGAATACCTGATCAGATTGTAGAAAGATTTGAGAATCGGCTCAGCCCTAGCCAAGAAATTATTAAGAATGCTTATGTTCTACTAAGTGAGCTTATTATGAATTTTTATAGAACGGTCAAAATAGGTGAATTTTAGATCAAGCCTGCCCATTTAGATTTACCTTTTTTAGTGGAACAATCTTCTGCCCACACATTGAACACATTTCCACCCATTTTTTAAAAGCAATTTTATTGGTTGGATTTATTTGTTTAGAATTGAATATGTAGAAATTTTTTAAAAATATATTCTCATTGGAAATTAGCTGGTTCTGCCCATCCCACCAGCAATATAATATTTTAAGGCAATCCGCTCTTTTGAGGAAATATATACGTGATACGTGATATTAAG